GGTGAAAAGGTTTCCTACAAACCATAATACATACACTGGGAAAGATCTTCCATTTTAATGAAAGTATATGTCAAAATTGATAAAGAATAAAGAGCAGTATTTGAAGAAGGCTAAAAAGTCCAGCATAATCATTATAGAGCATTGAAGGTGGCAGAAGTGGCTTTGGAATTTCTAAATTAAAAGGACCTAGGGGTAACCATGCAGTTGTAAAATGGGCTAGAGGACTTGACCTTATATTGCCTAGCAAGTACATTGCTTTTCCTCAGTCTGCGTTTATTTGTATGCCTTTTCTGGGAGGGTGAAGAAGACTATTGGGAAGAGACCACACCCATCCAGTAACTCCTTTCTTGACACCACCATGGGAAGAAGAATGGTAGAAGTGGAAGGAGGACAGTAAACTGAATAAATTAAAATGTTTTTTGGTAATAGATTCATTGTTTTGGTGAAGTTATTCATTTTGCTTTTTCTCATTTCCCCCTTGATTCCAGAAAAACATTCTCTTTCAACTAAACCTTTTTTGAACTAAAAGATAGACATTCTAGACATTCCGCCTTCTTCCCTTTTTTTTAACAACCTCACTCTCAGGGTACAAGTATTTAGTGCACTTTATTTATTTATTTATTTATTTGAGTTTTTTGCCATAGGGCACAAACACTCAACAGAGAGAGACAGAGACAGAGACAGTGAGAGGGAAAGATAGAAAGTATTCCCCAGGGAGGATGGCCATGCTGCAGTCCCTTCTCGTCCATTCTCCTCCTGGAACATTGGGCACACACATCTAGCATTAGTTTCAAATCCACTGGGCCCAGGATTTGACCAAAGATTGGCCATGTGGGAGTCCAGCAATGCAATCACAAAACCATCTGCTGGCCTAAGTGTACTTTATTTAAAAGTAAAAGTAGCTCCTTTTCCTTCCTGTTCTTTTTCTTCTATTTTCACCTTCTCTTCCTTCTCAATTGTCTTCCAATGTAATGAACTACTGCCTTAACTGATTCTTATTTTAAAATAAGCTTATGTGTCAATGTGACTAGAAACAGTAGAGGAAGTGTAAGGGAATCATTTCTAATATTCTAAGATATTGGAACCATCGCCTCTTTTTTTAACCTTATCCAAATCACTGTCCAGATGATTCTAAAATGAAGAGAATACTACGGAAAGAATATGAAAAAGAAACCATTTCCCCATACTATCTATTATGGGAAGATACGAGTGCTGCCATCTATGACCAGTCAAAGAATAAGCCCCTCATCCATTTCTTCAAGTTCTTCATATGCAAAAAAGCCAAGATGGGGCCAGCCAGTGGTGTGGTGGTTAAAATAGCTGGATCCTACATGGCCAACTGAGTAAGTTTGAGTCCCAGATCCAAAGGCTCAAAAAACGTGCTGGGCACTTGTACATGAATGCTCAAAATTCCAAAAGGAAGGAGAAATAGAGAAGGAATTGTAGCTTCACCATTTCCCATGACGGGTGGGAGGGTTGTTTTCTTTCTCTCTCTCTCTTTCTCTCTCTCTCTACCTCTCTCTCTATCTAGCAAGCACATGTGTCCTCTAGCAAATTTGAAAAAAAAAAATTTCTAAGCCAGGGAAAATGTTCTGATTGTGGAGTTAAGATATAAGCAAAACAAAATATTTTCATTCTCCCACCAAAATCCAAGGAACAAAAGCCGTTAGAGTGATAGTATAGTAAAGTGTAAGATACAATCCCTCACATATGTCAATGAGCATGCTTGATTATCGTCACAAAATAAATACAGATCACTGGAGGATAATTGATTTTTTAGTTATTTGGCACTAAAGTTACAAAGTAGACTAAGATTAGCAAAAGATGAGTCAGGATAGACACAGTAGAAGAGGCAAAACTCAGGGCAATTTTAAAATCCTTAAGTAGATTCTGATTTGCAAAGAAAAGTAAGTAAAGGCTGGAAGATTCTTGGTGTGTGATTGGTAGAGACAAACAAGACGGTAAAAATTTCTGTGTAATTATTTTTATTATGGTAATTCTTAATTATAGTAATTCTGATAAATAAAGAATTTTCTGCTCTACATAGAAAATGAAGATGATCACAATTAGTGGGTCAGCAGATGGCATGGTGGTTAAGGTACTGGAAACAGAATGGCCAACCATGGTTTGAGTCCAGGACTTGGTGGATTACTTTCTCACTTTCCCTCTCTCTCACTCCCTGTCCCTCTCTGGTGACTACGTGTGACCGATAATAAATTAAAATAATAATAATTATTATTATTATTAATTTAATTAAATAATACTTAAAAAAAAAAAGATGACCACATAGAAAGGCTATAGAAAGAAGAAGACTACAACCCAGACTTCAGTTTTTCTAACTATTTCTTATGATCAGGAATAAAATGAACAAGTAATGTTTGTATGTAAGTTCAACATAGCAAGAGACATTAGAACATGTCTCTTGCTTAGAATCAACATGGAAATCTGTACATAGTTTGGTCTAGTGAAAAAAAAAAGATGACCACATAGAAAGGCTATAGAAAGAAGAAGACTACAACCCAGACTTCAGTTTTTCTAACTATTTCTTATGATCAGGAATAAAATGAACAAGTAATGTTTGTATGTAAGTTCAACATAGCAAGAGACATTAGAACATGTCTCTTGCTTAGAATCAACATGGAAATCTGTACATAGTTTGGTCTAGTGGGGAACCCTGGAGCAGACAAATAGATATTGTATCTCTGTGACCTTGTAAAAGTTATATTTTTCCTTGTCTCTGTTTTCCCCTTATCAAATGGGAATTTAAAAAATGCTATCTACACCATATTGGACCAGTAGATGGCAAAATAGTTACATCACTGGACTCCCATGTAGACAACCACTGTTCAAGTCCCAGGTATAGCGGCTTAAAACTCATGCTGGGCACGTGTGTGTGTGTGTGTGTGTGTGTGTGTGTGTGTGCCCAAAATTCTAAGAGGAGAATAAAAGAGAAGGAATTGTGGTTTGGCCAACCCTCCTAGAAGGTGATTTCTCACTTCCTGTCTCTCCGTCTCTCTCTGTCTCTCCAGCAAACACATGCATTCTATAGCAAAAAAAAAAAAAAAGAAAAACTTCTCTTTAAAAAAAACATATTCTATGAGCTTCCCACACTATAATGTGTTTACCACAAAGTCCTCAGAAAATTAGCTATTATCAATTCAGTCACATATGCTGGCTTCATGGCCCAAATTAAACATAATACAGAAGACATGGGGATGTATTCTAAAGCATCAAACACAAAAATTGAGAGAAATACAAAATATGGGCTATAAAAAATACATATTATGCATCTGAGAAGTGATAAAGAATAAGGAATTTACAGCAATTGGAAAATTACAAATGTTAGGAAGAAAAGTAGTACTCAGCGACTTCCAAAACTTCACTCTCCTTCTTCTAAATTATTTTTTCCATAGGGTGCATGTGCTCACTGGAGAGAGACAGGGAGAGATAGGGTGGGGAGTGAGACATCACCCCTCAGGGAGGATGATCTGCCACAGTTCTTCTCCATTTTCTCTTGGAATTCTAGGCACACAGGCAAATGTATGCAGCATGATTTTCAAGTCTCCAGGTCTGGGACTCAAACTACAGTTGTCCATGTGGGAATCCAGCACCTTACCCACCAGCCCACCTGCTGGACTCACCCCAAAATTTTTTTTAAAAAATCAGTCTTCCTTTCTGAGTCAGTCAAGTAGACTTAAAATTTTTCATTTTTAATATTTGTAAAACTACATGAATTTAATATTGTTCTGTTTTATTATATTGTATTCCCCTATACATAATTTTAGATCATGTGTTAGCATTGCCGACTATACCTGCCAGCTAACAGATGTTATCTAATTTAATTCTCAGAATAAACTATCTTATAACTTTCTTCCATTTTTCTAAGACTAGTACCTTTGGTGGCTGTAAGTTAAATAACATTTAGAAGAAAATACTTGGGGCCGGCAGGTAGCATGGTGCTTAAGGCACTGGATCCCACATAGCTATCTCTGTGGTACAAGTCCCAAACCCAGCGGCTTGAAAAACCACACCAGGCACATGTGTGTGCCTACCCAAAATCCGGAGAGGAGAATGGAGGAGAAGGAATTGTGGCTTAGCCATAACCCCTGGGAGGTGATTTCTCATCCTCCCCTACTTCAGCTCTCTCTCCAGTGAGTACAAATGCCCTATGGCAAAAAAAAAAAAAAAGTCATACTGAGGATAAGTGACATGCTATCAAATCTGGATAATATCTTAAATCAGATGCTATTGGAGGTTCCATGGTGTGATGCTGAGCACTCTGGACTCTAAATTAGAGTTTATCACCACAAAGAAATGATAAATATTCAAGATGATCAATATACAAATTATTCTGATTTGTTCAACATACAGTGTATACATGTATTTAAACATGATAGTATACCCCCAGAATGATGTAAAATTATAAATATTAAGAACTACATATGTGGGGCCAGCAGGTGGCATAGTGGTTGAGGCACTGGACTTCCCACATAGTCAACCACAGTTCGAGTACTAGACCTGGCAGCTTTCTTTCTCTCTCTCTCTCTCTCTCCCTCCCTCCATCTCTCTCTCTCTCTCTCTCTCTCTCTCTCTGGTGAACTCATGAGAAAAAATATAATGATAATAAATAAAATAAATAATTCTTTTTAAAAAACTACAAGGGAATACAAAATAGATGTAACATAATTAATATGCAGTTTTATTTTAAAATATTTACTTAAAAGTAGTTTGTCCCCAGATTTTATGTAATTAGAGGCCTGGCACCTTCTAGCCTAATCCTTAACCTCTGCTGCTGTGTGATACAAAGTAGTATCTATCTAACTTTCATAATTTTTCCCCACTATAAAATAAATATAATATCCCTGCTTTTGTTAATTTCAGAGGCTATTATAAGAATAAAACAGAATAATGGAGTTGAAAATGATCTGATGAATTTACATCAAAAATTCAAATTTCTGTGACTCATGCCTTTATCTAAACTCTGTAGGTGAGGTGGACACATGGAAATAAGAAATTACACTGCTGTGACTGAATTCTTTCTCATGGGCCTTTCCCAGTACCCAGAGCTCCGGCTATTCCTGTTCCTGCTCTGCCTCATCACGTACATAATAATCCTCCTGGGAAATAGTCTCCTCATTATCATCAGCATCCTGGATTCTCGACTCCACACACCTATGTACTTCTTCCTTGGAAACCTCTCATTCTTGGATATTTGCTATACATCATCATCTCTTCCTCAAACTCTTGTTATTTTTATGGCTGAGAGAAAATCCATTTCCTTCTTTGGCTGTGCTCTGCAAATGTTTCTCTCCCTTGGTTTGGGCTCCACTGAGTGTGTCCTCTTGGCTGTGATGTCTTATGACAGGTTTGTGGCCATCTGTAATCCACTGAGGTATCCCATCATCATGAACAGGGTGCTATACATGCATATGGCTGCGTGGTCTTGGATCATAGGTTGTGCAAACTCCTTAGTACAAACTATCTTGGCAATGGTCCTGCCTTTCTGTGGGAATAATGTCATTGATCATCTTACCTGTGAGATCCTGGCTCTTCTTAAACTCATATGCTCAGATATTTCCACAAATGTGTTAATCATGGCAGTGGCAAGTATTGTTTTATTGGTGATTCCTCTACTGTTAATTTTTGTCTCCTATGTGTTCATCCTATCTTCTATCTTAAAAATTAATTCTGCTGAGGGGAGGAAGAAAGCCTTTTCTACATGTTCAGCCCACCTAACTGTGGTCATCTTATTCTATGGTTCAGCTCTTTTTATGTACATGAAGCCCAAGTCAAAGTACACAAAAGTATCTGATGAGATCATTGGGCTCTCTTATGGAGTTATAACCCCAATGTTGAACCCCATCATCTACAGTCTGAGGAATAAAGATGTGAAAGAAGCTATGAAGAAAGTCCTAAGCAGACACCTGCATTTTTGGAAAATATAAAAGGCTTTGAACCATATGATATCTTCGACATGGATCAGATGTTTTGTACTCACATACAGTCACAGAACCCAGAGTTAAAAGATTGTGTTCTCTTATATAGTCAAATATAGTACTCCCATTTTTCAGTATAGAATGCTTCATGTAAGCTATCTGATTAATGTCCTATCTGCAGTTTCTAGCTTCCTGTAGCCCTACTAATCAGTCTTACATATGGTGCATGGCTTTTCATCAAGATAAGTCTTTTGGGGGTATCAGGTGATGTGGTGGTTAAGATGCTGGATCCCACATGGCAAACCCTACAGTACAAGTCCAGACCTAGCAGCCTGATAAAACATGCCATGTCCTGGCATGTGGGTGTGGGTGTGCACAAAATCCCAAGAAGAAAATGGAGGAGAAGGTATTGGTGCATGACCATCTCTTCAGGAAGGGAGGGGGTGATTTCTCCCTTTCTCTAATCTCTCTCTGTCTCTCTGTTTCCCTCCAGCAAGCAAAGTGCCTATAGCAAAATAACTTCTAAAAAAAAAAAAGAAAGAAAAAAAATGAGTATCCTCTTTCCTCTCTATTACTTTCTTCCTCATTTTTCTCTCCATCTTCTTTCCTCCATTTCTCCTCTTCCTTGTCCTCCTTCTCTTCACTCCTTAATCTACTTTTCCTTCTCTCTTCTGTGCTTTCAGTCTCCTCTCCTGGTCCTTATGAATTGAACATCTATAGCTTTGTATTCAGTATCCCTTCTTCTGCTAAAATATGGCATCTGTTTTTGTTAGAAGACAGAATACATGTGAGAAGGGAAAGGTATCCTCAACTGGGTCCCACCATGCTGCAAACCCCTTTCCCTGCCTCTCCAGTTCCTCAGGATCCTGGCTGTCCACACACATACACACACACAGCCCAGCATGTTTCCAGACTGACCTGGGGATCAGCGATCATATGGTTTCCAGCCTGTTGGGGCACCCGCATTATTGCTACATCACAGTGGCTAAGCCAAAGTCATCTTTTGCTTTCAATAATTCAATAGCTCCTCTCTCTGAGTCCCTTTGGTGCTGTGTGTATATAGCCCAACCTTCTGGAAATAGTAAAAACAAAACCTAGCTAATTAAAAAGCAAATTTCTCTAGCCACAGTGATTCATTCAGCCTAGCAAGTGAACCAACTCAGTGTAATCAAACTGAATCAAAGAACGTTGTCCTTGTGTAAAAAAAGAGGCACTCTTTCTTCTAGGGTTTCTAAGCTGGAGAATATGATAATGAAGTCGATCATTGCCAGAACATGGGAAGTGTTTGTGAGACAAAAAAAAAAAAAAGAGTGGAGAGAAGGGGAGAAAGAAAGTCTGATGCTATTAATATTTTAACTCTTATCCAGCTGTGTCTAAAGTCAGAGTCAAAATTATTCTTTTTACTATATAGGTCAATAAGTTACCTTTTTATATTTAAAAATACTTATTTTGAGTTGGATATCATCACCTATATTTATTAGGTTGTTGGGAAAGCTATGAAATGTTTTTCTATGCAAAAATATGTCAAAACTTTTCCGACAATCAAATACATGGTCCTAACCGAAGTATTCTTTTGTTACTGACTCCACACTCATATTCTGAGACAAAAAATTATAAGGACATATTATCTAAGTGGTCATAGGCTATCAAGCCTTCAGCAATTCTCCTTTCTTTTAATAATTTTATTACAACCATCTAATTTCTATGCTGCATTCCTACAGGTATTCCAGTCACCTTCCTAATAATTCAATAATTTCTAAGGAATATTAACAATTTTCTAGATACTAGTTTTCATTTCACTTGTGAAAACTCTGAATATTACTTTGAGATTTGTGGATTTAAAAAATACAAAGTTAAAATTAATAGAAAGAACTATAAAGAAATGTTAAACTCTAGTTAATGATACAGAGGCTGAAATATAAATAAGCCTGTGTATATAAACTATTGTATAATGTTCATAGTTTACTTTGAAATGTATCCATGGTGGTTAAGGTATTGGACTCCCATATGTCCAACCATGGTTCAAGTCCTAGACCTAGCGGCTTGCTTTCTCATTTTCTCCCCTGCCCCCTTCTCTCTGGTGAGTACATGTGCCCTATAGTAAATTAAATAATTATAATAATAAATAAAATTAAACACATAATTTTTAAAAGAAATGCATACATAAATGACATGGATTTAGTAAGGATACAGAGAAATGAATATATACAATGATTACTAGAAAAGCTAGGAAAACGTTCATGGTATAATTGAATTAGAGTGAGTAGATGATGCTCAATGTGAAATTCTTTCAGTTTTGCTTGATGTTTGAAATTTTTCATGGTACAGTGGTGGAAAAAATAAAGCTACACAAAGCCTGTGATAAATACAACTCCTGAAGAAATGATACATCAGTGAATGAAACTGGAGCAGAATTTTGATTAAAAATAGGATCATTATAAATTATATTAAATTTAATTTAGTAAAATTCTTCTATTCTAAAAAAGCAAAACTGGTTTATTTTTGTTTGTTTGTTTTTATTATAGGGCATGTGCACTAGCCAGGGAGAGAAAGAGGGAAAAATGAGAAATCACCCCCTTCCCCAGGGGGAATGGCCATACCGCAATCCCTTCTCCAGTCTCCTCAGTATTTTGGGCACACCTGCCTGGTGTGATTCTCAAGCCGCTGTGTCAGGAACTCAACTGTGCAGTCAGCCATGTGGGATCCGGAACTTAACCTCCGTGCCACCTGCTGGCCCCAAGGCAAAATTTTTTAATAGGTTACAACCTATCTTGAGAGAGCATAAAAAATAAATTTTAATGGTCCCTGTGAAATTTAATTCTCTGTACTGAACTCTTGCCAGATTTCAGTTGCTATTCCTGAGGGAGGGGTGTAAAAGGAAGAAAAGGTAAGGGAAGAAAATAAATATATCGGAAGATTTGCCAGTATCAGTTCCTAAGGCAATTAAAAAAATAAAAGGAACCATCAACCTTTTTCTTTTGTCATGATGTGTTATTTGCAATATTCTTTTACATGTTTTTTACTACTTCTGAGGGGACTGCTGATTCCAAACGCATGTTAGATTGCATAGATAGAACTTGACAAAAGAAATGTGTTCTTCCTATATCATTTATCCTGAAATTGCAGGTTTTTATTACAATTAAAGCCATGACATGTCTGACAGTACCATTTCTATATATATTCACATGGTAATTTCCTATTTACCTTTCTAGCATTGCTATTCTTAAAGCAGTCACCATGAATAACCATTCACATTTCCCAAGGCTTTTCTGATCTGAAACCTTAATAGAAATTAAGAATTTAAAGTTCAATTCAAACAGTAATCCATAAGTCGACTGAACTATTTCTTTACTATGCTGCTCATATTCTAAACAGATGTGGAACAAAACATTATTACAAATGTGAGAAGCTATTAGTTCAAGAAAACAGGAGCCAGCAGTTAACGTAATGGCTATGTTGCTGAACTCCCATGTAGTCAACCACCGTTCGTGTCCCGGACCCGGTGGCTTAAACTCATGCCAGGCATGTGTGCGTGCATGCCCAGAATCCTGAGAGGAGAATGGAGGAGAAGGGATTGTGGCATGTCCATCCCCCTGGAGGGTGATTTCTCACTTTCTATCTCTCTGTCTCTCTCTGTCCTTCTGGCAAGCACACGTGCCCTATACAAAAACCTCTCAAAAAAAAAAAAGAAAAGAAAACATAAATGAACACTGATTGTATTATAAATACTTATTCAGGTGATTACAGAATACAAGTGTTAATATGTATGCTGTAATGTGTAAGACTATTTTTAAATGGGGAATGAGACTTTATTCAATTTAATGACCACTACTAATATTAGAGATGAAAGCTATATTGATAATAAATTTGTGCATCTAATGAAAAGGATTAAATATCAAAGTATTTTGAAAAAATTGCATAAATGCATGACTCACTGGCGAGTAGCAAATGAATGGAATTATAGAAGTAGATCAATCAAGACAATTAGATGGCAAAGACTATATGTAATATTGATCTTGTTTTTGAGGGAAATAACCTCTTCATGAGAAATAAATGCACATAGCTCTAGATAAATTAACTAAAGGTCTATGATTTTTCCCACATGATAGGGAATTTCCCCTGAAATTCAGGAACATAAGCCAACATAATACAAAAAAAAAAAAAAAAAAAAGAAAGAAAGAAAAAAGAAAAACTCCTGGTAGTAGTGAAAAGAAATTCCAAAATAATTATATAACAGGCACAAGGCAAAACCGATTGTAATGGAGTCCTTGTGCTCTACGTGTCTTAGTTTTAGGTGCAGCTAGGAAATTTTATCACATGTGAAACTAGCTGTCTTATTGTATTGGAGAAATCATTAGACACTGTAAGAATGATTACATAGAAATATATAGTCTAAGCAAAATTCCATTATGTTTCAGTATGTATGTATATTATAAAATTAGTACTTGTCTTAAATTTCTTCTCTAAAATATCAAAGTATAAAATACAGAATTTATTTTTATTTTAACAGTATAAAGAGAAAATCTGTAACCCCTAGAATAAGATTCCATATAAAAATGCTGCAGATGTCTTTCATTTTCATTCTTCAGTGTATGTCATACAATCTAGATTCTGCAGTATGATTTAGCAGGTACACTTAAATTTCAAAATATAAACTGAAAAGAGTGGTTTTGAATCAAGTTTTTAAAAACATGAAATTATGTATATAATAAAGTAAGTCACTTTTAAAATTAGTATAAGTGTAAGCATATTTATAAACAAACAAAATAATAGTAAAGTGGGTGCCTAAAAGAACACATGGAAGTTGGTCTTAATAAAGTCATAATGTTTCCCACCTAGAATATATATTACGATTTTTAAAAAATAAAGTGTAGAGACCAACAGTTGGCATAATGGCTATGTCGCTGGACTCCCATGTAGTCGACCATAGTTCAAGTTCCAGACCTGATGGCTTAAACTCACGCCAGGTGAGTGTGCGTACATGCTCAAGATCCCAAGAGGAGAATGCG